TGAAGGAAAAGCCCCGTTGCTATCGGAGATGAAATCAAATCGGTCACTGTCATCGGCTACCGCTGTCTTAGATATCCATCCAAAACTGCCATTGTTAGTGGTTTACTCCTGAGGATATAGACCATACTCTGTACGAGCCACGTTTTCGCTTTCGCTTAATACGCGATCGCACAGAGACCACCGGATGCCGATGCTCACTGTTCACTGAATAAGCTTTCTCGGCATGGTGTACAAATCTTGACCCATCATAAGGGTATGAAAATCGTATCCAAAGCACAGTCAGGTAGGTCGCGTCAAAGTCCTTGGTCAGGGACCTCTTGGCGAGCCCAATCAGCGAGCACAGACTGGGTTATTTGGCCGAGTGTCATAAGCAGCAGTAATCGTACACTGGCTCACCTACTTACATTTAGTTTATCATTTGTCTTGCTATTGGTTTCAGTGATTTGCTTTCTTCTCTTACCCCTTCTCTCATTGTTGGGTCAATCGAAAGACAGAAACCGAAATCAACACCAGAAAGCGCATGCATCATCACTGTAGGAACTGGACTATTGTGTCTTATTTTGCCCCGCGTGTATTTTGCTGGAACAATGAAGGTATTATTCAATCGTAGTTGTTCAACAATCAAAACTGCGATCATTGAAGTACGCGTCTGAAAGTTTCAGAACGTGAATATCATCACTACTTTTAATGATATGCGGTGTTTCGGAGCTTCCACCCGGTACCGCGCATTCTGTTTGAAACCCTAACGTGCTTTAATTTGTTCAAGTTTTGGTCATGGTAATAGAGATCTATATCTGTGTGAAATTCGTGGAAAACGTATTGTAGGTGACATCGTTATGTTGGCTGGGGTATGAATATGTGAACATTGGCTTGGACTGCTTGGAAGTTCTAGGTTCACCAATAAGTCATAAGTATGACCTCGTGGCTATAAACGTTGTTGTACTGTGATTCGTTTGTCACATCACTTTAGCTCAGATCAGGTTAAAAATATAAGATTTTGTAGTATCAGTGGACTTTTGATACGTTTTTTCCTACTATCCACTCCACTGTCAGCACAAACGAATGACACCCACATTCGTGGACACCTTCCTGAAAGTTGACTGTACATTTATATGCCCAATAAACAAAAAAAGCAAGTGAAAAAGTTAATTTTTTTATCAGGTAGGTTGGAGGTTGTCAGAACTCAACCAGGGTTCGGATCCGACCGCCTGGTTGAGGACTTCATGAATAACTCAATCAATCGTTAGTGATACAGTTAAATGGTTGTGAACGATGGTATTCATACACCTTCTCTTTTTCTGTGCAGGTAAATTTTAACTGCCTTCGTCTTTTCATTTTTACATTGTTGTTAGCTCTAAACTCTGTTCTCACCAGTCGATCAACGGTCAACCAAAAGACAGCTATGAAACCGTCTCACGACAGTGCAAGAGTAATATTTGTGAAAACTGAATCTGCAATTGAAGCAGATTGTAATAAAGTAAAGTAATTAGTCAAATCATCACCCTACCAAAGCATCTGTATACCTCTGTTTTGTGTTTTCGCGTTCAGGAAGAACACAAGCCACTAATCTGGAATGGACTGACTAATTATCCCAAATCGATTTACAAGCAAGCACAATATTCAGATGGGTCCGCACTCCCGAATTCGATATAAAATTCGACCAGTCACATGCTGTCCATTGAGGATGAGCCGGTGTCAGTTACAAGATTTACTGCGACCAGATTTGAAATCTCACAACACCGCCTTCCTTTGTAAAGATGTTGCAGTGCACACTACTGTAAACCCATTCTCTGGGTTCATGCTTAGCCGGCGAATCAGCTCTTGAGATCGTCTTCGGTTGTCGCGTTGATCGGGTGCCTCCATGTGGGTTCTGAGCTAAACCGGATTGACTTTGAAATTCCGATGGTTCATCAATAAATCCATGGGTATAAAATCAGGGTAATTTTCTGTTGAGTCGTCTCCGACATTCCTATGTCTGAGGTGGTTATTATGCCTAGTCCATTCGAAACTAAATACTTAACTGTTTTACAATCTCCCTGGGAATACTACTGTCTAACCTACTGCCAAAATTCTGCACAAACTAACACTCTTGTCTTAAATGCCGTAAACCTGATCTCTGTTCTTGTTGCCGTGTGATTCAGCTATCTTGAGCGATCAGAATCATGACATCCTCGGTTAACCTCATTCATTGACCTAGGGAAAATTCAACACAGGATTTATGTTCTCGTGTAGCTGGGTTGGGGTCGTAGTTTCAGTTTCAGTTTTTAAAACCATTAACCATGCACTTTCTTGCGCCGGTTTTGGTTGTTGTCTTTGGGTGACCATTTGGATAAAGGAGCGAAGTGAAGATTGGGATGTCGAAGCAAATTCAAGCAGAAGATGGGGAATACATATAGAGTGGTGTTAGGAAAATAACGAGTGGATGCACGAGCGCCACTGTTTGCGACACCCAGCCAT